ACTAAATAATACTGTGGCTTGTGAACTTTAATTATCACCACTAAGATAACATATGTGTTTATAGGAATATCACCAAATTACTAGGTCTACAAACAATAAATTGTGGCGTGTTCGGCAAGCATCTTGAGGTCTTAACATATTTTGTTAATCAGTAGACGACAAAAACAACTGAACTAAGATCAAGGTATCGATTTTCGGACCCTTAACTGTTGATCATAACTCATAACCCTATTTTGATATTTGCTCCGTGATCCTGACTAATATTTCTCATTCCTTGCTAGTTTAGCTGTACAGATTACTTTAACTGCACTTTCACATTCTTTATTAATCCTGAAACTGTTACGTAGTTATGTTATCAAAAAATGTTTTGGCTTTGTGCCCAATTACAATTTACTATTTATAGTTTCATAATGCACACAAATAATCAAGTGAATTATAAGTGTAAATTACAAAACTTGCATGTGACTATTTGTCTGAATTTCTGGTGTACAAAATGAAGGTTTTTAGAACATTGAACTTTACTCGGTCTAATCTAACGAGTACTGTAATCCAGTTAGTTAATTTATAGTTGTCAATATAATCAAGTTAATAACAACAGAGATAAATTTAAGAAAAAACAGTTTTGATATTCGTTAACTTTTCAGTGACTAGTAATTGATCGAATGAATATCCTTACAAAGTCATTCATACATCATAGAGATAATGAACGGAATTAATTTATAAACAAATTTCATTAAATTCCGAACTACTGCCAAGATTTGTAATATTCAACAAACCTACAATATCTAACAGTTTCAAGCATTTCGTCATTCATTCAATGTATCATAGGAACTTTCATTGACAACTTTATTTCATTCATCTTTATCTATCTATCTATCTATATTCATTATCTGAAAATTGCCTATTGTACCACATCTCAAGTTGTCCAATTAAAAAAGTAAACAAATGACAAATTACAGTTTGAAAAGAAATTCTTAGATGGAATCATACTCTCATGTGAAGTATTCAATCAATGAATGAGTGGGTAAATGTGAGATATTGTAGATCTATTGAACACTGGAAGATAGATGGAGTACAAATTCACCAACATGTACCATATCACTAAATTTCTATTAATAATGATCTGGACGCTGATAAATAGATGATCAAATGATACTCAACACTTAGTCAACAAACAACACAAGGAATCGATAACTAAGAGAAACGATTAAATAAACTATGATTAATTGAATAAAAAGAGGGAGGAGTAGAAGGCTAGTAAAGAGGAATCATTTTACAACAGAAGTCAACATACACGAAGAGCTAATTAGAGTGATTTCACTAATTATTTTTATTATTACATATTTGGAGCATACATGGATTGTGACTGACAGTGGAATTCATTTGACGTGTTTCGTCCTAATTATTCAACATTAAACCCCACAGTTGGATATAATTTAACCAATGTAAACAAATTGTGATATAATGACTATATGGAGGTATTTCATACAAAATGTACTTATTCTAATAAGGACTAATCAATATATCACTCTTGAAATCAATTATGGGATATTGTACACATTAAACACTGGAAGTTAGATGGAATACTGTTGTGTCTTTATGGCCCGCTAGTTATCACGTAATTTATTCGCCAATCAAAATACGACTTATTCACCCTTATACTATACTAAACCAATGACATTCGTTCGGTCTGATCAGCCTAGCATTCTATTGGTCCGTTGCTCGCCTAGCTCGTCCAGCTGAGTCCAGAATGCCAACAACAGCCTCCACTATACGAATCATTTATTTCAGAGATAATGGGTTTATATATCAACCAAACAGACCGCATCACACCATAAAATAGAAAATAACACTTGTACAAAATATACCCAAAACTGACTGTAAATGTGGGAGACAGTAGTCAATGAAATGAACATAGCCTAAGAACAGTAAATCGTACAATAATAATCTACAGGTCAAAACAAAGCTTATAACAGGAGGAATATAGATATACACACTCTAATTACTGAATAGCTATACCATAAGAATAAATAGATAATATTACTCCATTAATAGGTCTCAGATGTTACACGTAATTTAATCTTCACAAATACAAATTCATGAACATGTATCCCATTTTTAAATTTAGCTAAAAAGCAATTTAATCCATTCATAAACTCCTCTATTTAACATGTCACTAGTCACTTGAAGATTACAATTGTAAACTATCTAGTGAAATGTACATTCACACACATATAAACATACACATGCACCTTGTTCACATAAGTCTGAACAATAACTGACTATTATCTTTTATTTATCTAATGATCACAATACACAACGTAAAAAAAGAAAACAAAACATTGATTCATTCTTTCTTAATCTATTCACCTAACAAACTACTACTTTCATAGAAGATGATTGTATATCAAACTTTGTAAACGATCAAGTTTAGTTCACTTTATAATTGTAACTAAACAAATGTCGATTCTGTTTATTGTTTCTTACATTTGGGCGTGTATTCTATTTTAATTTAGAAAAATTCCAACAACAACAAAAAAAATGAGAAAAAAGAAAAGAGAAAAAAATCGTTTATCAAAAAAAAAATAAATAAATAAATAATGTAAATGAATCATAAATATAATTTAATGAGTAATAATTAAATTGGTCAATATATGGTGATATTTTCTTGCAAGTTATGTTGCTATGTTTTGTGTTGTCATGTTGATTTCATTTTTTGTCATGTAAAAAAATTTTTGATAAACTATTCATTTATAACAAATCTCAAATGATTCTATAAACTAGGTCAAGGTTGGATAGTGAACAAAGTTTTAAGTAGAGGATAATGTATTTATATATAAATATATATTCATTATAATTAAGAAAAGAGTATATATTTAATAAATAATTAATTATCAAAAGGGGTTTTGTGGAGATTTTTTTTAGAAATTTCACTAGTTGAAATCATGAGTGAATTGAAGCTAGGCGACAATAGAAAACATGGAAGCACTGGATGACTTTTTCGTTTTAATATAGGACTCCATCCGCGATCCTGCCCCCTGTGAGATTCGAACACAAGACCCAGATCAGTCTAAAAATCTCCACAAAACCCCTTCTGATAATAATCATCTGCTCATTAGTGACTGAATTCGAGATGCATTTCCTCGAGTTCTAGTGAGGAGCTGTTACCAATGGAGTTCAACCAGGTCTGTTGTGAGATATCAGCTCACTGATAATAATGATGTACGGTGGCGCAATTTCGTGGATTATTTAAAGTTAGACATCAACACTGTTGGATGCCAACTGGTTTAGTGGTCTAGTGGTTAAGCGCACGCGCGCGAGACCCATAGGTTATGGGTTTGGATATCGCGAGGTGGGATCGTGGATGTCCACTGCTGAGGTGTCTCACAATAGGACGAAACGGCCGTCGAGTGCTTCCAGGTTTTCAACGGTGGTTTGGCTTCAATTGACTCATCATCTCAACTATTAATATATTTAGATTTTAGAGATTTAGGTGATGTACGTTCAATTTTTAAATGGAGCACCAATTCTCTTAATGTGTGTGTCCGTTAATAGGATAAATATGAGTCCAGAGTTTCTTGTAAACTACCTCTTACCATATAACATCTTATCATAGTGTATATGATTTCGACGGATTCAAACTTATGATCACGTTTTAATTCAATTTGTAATGATTTGGTTTATTACGTTTCAGTATTTTGACTGAAATCTGATCAATCACAGTTGGCTTATATGCATCCTGTGTTAATCACCTCGATATAACCATTACAAAAAATGTTTACGTAGAATAAATGGAGTGAGACTATCTAAAATCAGTGACTAATTGGATAATACGATGACGTCTGGAGTGACAGGTACTGGATCCGAGTCCTATAATGAACATCGACTCTGGGATGCAGGAGCATCCAGGTAACAAACATGTGTCCCGGATTCCACTGCTACCCATGTTCAATCTATTCAATATGGTAAACGCATTGCGATTTGACTTCATCATTTCTAGATAAAATACACGCTCCCGAATATATCACACAAAAAAATATTTGACAAAAAATCTTTAACCACATTTCCATCAATTTAAGTAGTCTTTTTAAAAAATGAAGCACTGGTGATAGCGTACACTTTCGCCATCTACAGTAAAAATATAATTTCCATGTATACAATAAATAAAATATTCTGGACGTATATTCATTGTTTAAGCCTAGTCTCTTGTGTCAATCGTCCACAAAATAGCAAATATCAGGTTGTTTAATTTTTCAGTATTTTTACGTGTAACAATTAACTGATCGATTCACCCCTTAGCCGCCATATGTTGGTTTGCTTCACTTCCATTACCTAGATATATTTGTTACGTTTGAGAACCTCGATCCCTAACCAAAAGGGATTTTCCAATAAATAAAGCATAACACTGAAGGAACCAGTTATCTTAAAAGAAAATGTCAGAGTATCCTACCAGTGGATCGCATGATTGACAAACAATCTCTGAAATCTCGGGATCCAACCTGTCAGTTGACAACCCACCGACCACATTTTCGGCCGATACACTAGACTCTTTCCTATCATTCTTGCCCTATTTGCTTGCGTCAGAGACATTCAAGAGGCACATATTGTCACTAAACGTTTTTTAGTTTACTTTTATCTCACAAAAATTCTACTTTCATAATTCCATTAAAAATTCTGAAAGTATTTGAAGTCATTGAGAAAACCAAGTATACACAATAATATATTATGCACAGTGTTATAGAACTATTCATTAAATATCTGAACAAAAAACTAGACAAAACTATAACATTAGTCAAAAAAACCAATCGAAGCCTGAATAAGCCTGTGGTAAAGTTTTGGACTGTGGAATTAAGGAATTTATATCTGGAATCCATAAGGAATACCATTTCCCTCAAGAGTACAGTTGAACCTAACTGAGGAATGTCAAACAGCACGAAACCTAGTTCAAAAAAGGTTTCCTGTCAAGTAATTCTAATCATGAAACATCGTAACACAATTACTTAGTAAATTTAAATAACATACAAGTAATCAGCACCAAATGCCAACTTGTAGTAGTAGTAGTAGTAGTAGTAGTAGTAGTAGTAGTAGTAGTAGTAGTAGTAGTAGTAGTAGTAGTAGTAGTAGTAGTAGTAGTAGTAGTAGTAGTAGTAGTAGTAGTAGTAGTAGTAGTAGTAGTAGTAGTAGTAGTAGTAGTAGTAGTAGTAGTAGTAGTAGTAGTAGTAGTAGTAGTAGTAGTAGTAGTAGTAGTAGTAGTAGTAGTAGTAGTAGTAGTAGTAGTAGTAGTAGTAGTAGTAGTAGTAGTAGTAGTAGTAGTAGTAGTAGTAGTAGTAGTAGTAGTAGTAGTAGTAGTAGTAGTAGTAGTAGTAGTAGTAGTAGTAGTAGTAGTAGTAGTAGTAGTAGTAGTAGTAGTAGTAGTAGTAGTAGTAGTAGTAGTAGTAGTAGTAGTAGTAGTAGTAGTAGTAGTAGTAGTAGTAGTAGTAGTAGTAGTAGTAGTAGTAGTAGTAGTAGTAGTAGTAGTAGTAGTAGTAGTAGTAGTAGTAGTAGTAGTAGTAGTAGTAGTAGTAGTAGTAGTAGTAGTAGTAGTAGTAGTAGTAGTAGTAGTAGTAGTAGTAGTAGTAGTAGTAGTAGTAGTAGTAGTAGTAGTAGTAGTAGTAGTAGTAGTAGTAGTAGTAGTAGTAGTAGTAGTAGTAGTAGTAGTAGTAGTAGTAGTAGTAGTAGTAGTAGTAATAGTAGTATGAATGATCATCCAGAGAAAATATAAAAAAAATAAGAACACATTCAAAGTTTTTTTTCCATTTAGAGCGGTAAAAATAAATCGATTCATAAACTAACTACACAATATTACCAGGTATAGAAATGTACGGTTAATGTTTAGTTATACTGAGTTGCTATAAAAACTTTATTGAATTTCTAACAAATTTTTATCAAAGAAGCTCACCTACTATATAAAGTAATACACCTCGTGATTAACAAACACAGTGTCTATATTGTTCACAAGTGAGTACATGATAATAATCAATTTAGGGTTTTGTGTAAACTGTTGAATTTTCGTAGTTTAAACCACGAACTATATACCTTCAAACTGTCTTCTGATTAAATGGATATACGAAATTTTAAATGTAAAACATATTACATAATCAATTAGACATTGGTAACTAATTTGCTCAGTGAAAAACAATACCTGTTATATTATATCTCCAAATGATACAATTAATCAAACTCATGTAAAATAATATATGAAGCGAACAGACTAACCTCTTTTAAGCAAAGATAGTTGCTAACAATGGAATCTAAAATACATATCTATTATGAAAAGATTGTTCACTACTGGATTGTAAATTTCTGTATAGCTTGAATAACTACAACAAATTAATATAGACAGTTGATAAGTTGTCTGTTTCATCTACTGATGGAAATTGAAGGAACTACTGACAATTGGTTTGTAGACATTTAGTGTTGATACTATCTTCTATATATACAATAATCACAATGGTTTCAATATATTTGGAATGTGGATACCAGTGAGATTCAAGATGCACGTTTCATCTTATATGGGACTTAGATAGATATATCTGCACTTCAATGTTGATGTCCACTCCGAAACATTAAGCCAGTGAATTTTACTTCGAATGCCAACTCGTATTCTACTTTGAAACTGAGTCCATGTAGCTTATGACTGACAGTAATATCGATGCAGTCAGCTCAGAATGTACATGTATCGGAAAGATTAATTATTTGTAGCCCCTCACACTAAAAACGAGAGGATTAAAACACTTACAACTGAATTATGAAAGGACATTAATCATCTTAAAGAATTTAGGATCTCCTGAAAACCATTTAGGGGTCACGAAAAATAAAAAGAGGAGAAATTTTTGACACTTTAACGAGTTAAAAATAATTTTTCAATTCTTTTTCCTAAGTAACTGATATCATACACAAAAAGTTAATCAATGATTAGCAAAGTGGAACCTGAAAAATATCCACCTAGTTTTATTCTGCCAAACCACGTCAGCGCAGTATAATGAAGCTATGATGACAAATACCAGAGTAGTGGATGTAGTAACAGTTTCAGTAATATTAAAACCTATTTGTCATAGATAATACGATTTGAGAAGGAAGAATGAATTTTAAAACAAAGAAGCATAAATTAATATTTAAATTGCCAAATCTAAGGGAAGAAAAAGAAAAGTTGAATCTATACCAATACGATCGATTCTAAGTTATTTCACCCATCGTCTCCAATTATTGATTAACAATAAGCACGCATACTCTATTCAGATAGTTTATATCTACTATTATGGTTCAATCAACCAGTCCATAATTTTATGAACTGATACCACGCCTTTATTCTTACAATCCACTCCTACACCGGTAAACATCGCAGATCGAATATAAATGAAAGAAATTCCTGGACTTTTCTGACAATCTAAAATTCTTCAGAGAAGTTTATATGTGCTAACTCATTACACACTTATTCTTCAAAGTATGTTTTATTATGTTTTATGACAATAATCACAAAAATAATGAAAACAACCAATCTCGTAAAAGTATGACAATCGATTAGAAAATCATCTGAATCACCAGTTCGTAATAAATAAAATCTTAATAGTAGACTAAGTAATTACTGTTTGAACATTTCAACATTTTTATTTGTTTAAACTGTTCAACTGGTTAATTGTTAGAAATTATTTCCTGACGTTGTGCCACTTTCTTGTGAATCAGACGTTTAGGTTCAAGTCTACTAGTGTGCCCCCCCTAAGGAAACCACCTACTTCAGTCTACGCACCCGGGCAGTATTACAACCCACTCAAAAATGAAGTAACTTGTGAGGCGCATATGTATTCAGTGCCCCTTTGTACCAATATTTATGTGTTCAAATAAATAAATAAATAATTTATAGATATTTTAGGGGATAGATAATGAGTAAAAGATTTCATATAACGATTAGTTTATTCGATGTAAATTAACGTATTTTAATGAATCATTTAATTAAGTGACATTATCCATGAAGGATCAACCAAACATACCTGTACTTCAAGTGAGTATATTTAAATTGGCATGTGAAATGTTAGACTATATGGAGCTTATATTTTCTGTATATAAACGACGAACTTGTATGTAATAGTAGAAACATCAGTATTGCGACTATTATTATTATTACTATTACTATTATTATTATTATTATTATTATTATTATTAGTAGTAGTAGTAGTAGTAGTAGTAGTAGTAGTAGTAGTAGGAGGAGGAGGAGGAGGAGGAGGAGAATAGGCATAGAAAAAGAAAAATAAGTGCAGAGAAAATTTAATACCTAGATACTAAAACAAAACAAAGAGTCAATGCACCAGAGCCGTAGTGAACGATTCTGAGCCATGTCACCTAATATCTCTAACTGTATATCATAATAATCACACAGACTTCAATCAGGTAGTCTATATCCAATAAAATGGCTGGGTTCAAGCGTCGGTAATTACACAGCTTAATGTCAAGTTCCGGTTTAATCCCCCTACCTTTAGTTTTCTACTACTCTACTCTTGAACCACTCAACATCGGTCGTTGGGATAGGCGATGGTTGAGTATACGTACACTTGTCCCAGTCACCTCAAATGATAAAGATTTTCTATCTCACCACTCGCCTTCTTATATTTACGTAACACCATTTGCCTAACATCATGATTCCTTACTCAATGGTTCCAAAATACACGAATGATACTTCGAAGACATCTATGATCAGACAGTAGTAACCTGTAAAATTATTTTTTATTAAGTTTAGATATGGTTACAGCCAGAGATAATTTATTTTATTAAGATGCTTTACCTTTTTTTACATACCTGAATGAAAAAGAGTAATCACTTATAAAAACTGAGCACATATTTCAATAACATATAAACCAATTACCATTTGACAGGTAATTCCCATTTAAACATTAAAGATTGAAAACACGAAGTTCAGCGAAGGAATCTCCTTTCAACGAACTTATTATCAAGCTGTACAATAGTATATATATGAAAATAGTTTGCAAAAGTGCTAATTCCGTGAGGAAATGCGAACAGGAATAGCCAAGATGATGTAATAGAAAGATTATAATACTAGATTATGTAATATGAATAATAACATTAGATTTAGTGAATATTCTAAGATGATTAAGATGTTTTTGTCACAATAATTAAAGGTCATTAAAGGTCATAGGGATATAAAAATAAGGTGATATGATGAGTATTTATGAATAAAGTAATAAGAATTTAAGATAAGGGGAATGCTGTAATAATAATAATAATAATTAAGGCCAAAGTAACGATAACGATAAGACGTACTTCTCTTGTGGTTTGAGTTCATGGATGGTAAGAGCTTCGGTTATGTTTAGAAATTGGATACGAAGAGATCTAGATAGATTTGAACGAACCACATATACAACCTCAAAATCAAACTGTGGATCAGTAGAATGATTACAGCCGACTAGATATTCAAGTATAAAACTCTTAACTGCTTCCCTTTCACCCTTGTAGAACCACACTGGGACATATTCCCGTATGCGAGTTGAAAGCGAGCGCTGGCTACGGTCAATATTCCTTGCTCCACAAGAGCAGGTGAACTGGTAGATGCACATGGAGGTGACCAGACGCAGAAGCTTATTTATTATGGATACAGAAAATAAATTCCTGCTAGTGAAGGTTAATCGCAGTTTTGCTGCATAGAATGTTCTTTTTATCTCTGTCGTTAAACTATTTTTGATTACATCAGATGTTCGATCACCTTTAAATTTCAAACTTATATTAAGGTTGTTCTTTGGGACGGAACAACCGGATTCCTTGTCAAGTCTACTTCTTTTCATATTCTTATCTATGAAGCGGTCTGATTAGCCATTTTTCATCAGGGTTTTCCTGAGGAATGCAAGTTCTTCGTCAATATACTTCATACTGCATATCCAATGTATTCTTTCTATTACACCATCTAGGTTATTCCTGTTCACACTTCTTCACGGAATTAGTACTTTAACAGAAAAATTTCATATATATATATATATATATATATATATATATATATATATATATATATATATATATATATATATATATTTCATGTTATTCAATTACCATTTGTTTTTCATATATTAACCCTCAAAATTTATCGTTGAAACTATAAAAAAAGATTAACAAAAATCCACAATTGTTTTCATATCAACTAGGCATTTCGACACTAAATGTAAATTTGACATTAAACTGTCTAGTAAAAGCATGTATCCTTAAGCGGAACAAACATTTTATTACTATTATTATTATTGTTATTATTATTATTATTATTAGTAGTAGTAGTAATAATAGTAGTAGTAGTAGTAGGAGGAGGAGGAGGAGTACTTGATATGAAACTATTTGACAAGAACAACAACCACAGTTCACACATTATTTCAATAAGTTTAGACTAAGAAATTGTTATTTCTGTAATTAAAAACAAAAGAATCTTCTCTCTTTATTATACCCTAGTATTTATTTATTTATTAGTATTGTATGTATTCATTCAATCAGCGCGCCAAAATTCTTTAAATATTTAAACAATAAATCGACAGTGAATGTTCAAACAAACAAATAAACAAAAAAATTCATATTTATTATGAAATATGGAAAATTACGTATTTATTATTATTTTTTCTTTGTTTTAGAAATATGTCAGACAGTGTATCATGGCTTTCTTTTTTTTCTTCTTCTTTTTTGTATTCTTCATCCCCCCTTCACCTTTTTATTTCTTTTAGT